GTTTCATTAGTGTTCTCAAAAATTTCATTCATTTTTGCGTGTAAGAATGATTTGACTATACTTGGAGCATGGGGTTCGTAAGTAATTAGATCTTCAATGGACATTTGAGCTAGATCAAATTTGATTATTCTGGATTCTATATAGTCTGTTAGGAGTGGAATTTTTGCCAAGCTATGCACACAGTTTGATGAAGTGGTTTTGTATGCTCTAACTGCCCATAAAATGATCTGGTACTGCATGGAGTTCAGTTTTTGTTTACAACGATTGTTTAAATATTTGAACCAAATTTCAGAACCGTATGTAAGTACAGGCCTAATGATTGTTTTGAATAAAGTTAACCTCTTTTCAGTGTCTAAACCCCACATATTGCCACTTAGTGAACATAATAAATTTTTCATACGTCCTGCCTTACACAGAATATCATTAACATGCGGTGTAAAGTTAACTTTGTTTTTCCATTTGTGATTAGAAAATTTCATTCCCAGAATTTTTACTTGCTTGACCGGCATTATTATATTGTTATTAACCTTAATAGGTATTTTTTGTCTGTTATGTAGGTATAGCATATTAGTCTTCTCTGTACTGATCGTTAATTTATTTCTATTACACCATTGGATCACATAATTTAAGGTGTATTCGCTTGCGGTTTTTAGTCCTTCAATAGTCTTATTCCAGCAAATTATTGTAACGTCGTCTTCATAACATATAATATCTGCATTCATTGAATCAAAATTTATCAACAAATCATTTAGCAAAATATTCCATAGAAGTGGAGATAAAGGTCCACCCTGTGGACATCCTTTAGTTAGTTTCTTATAAAAAGTTTCTGATTCGTATGTAAATTTCACCTCCCTTTCATTATTCAAATAAGATTTTATGATCCGTATTAAATCTGAAGGAACATCATCATTATCCATTCTTTTTATAATAGCAGGCCACCATGCATTGTCGAATGCACCCGCAATATCTATAGCTATCAAGGAAGTCAATTCTTTTTGTTTATGTTTCAATATAGTTTCTATAATTATATCCATTCCAGTAATTGTTGATCTAGATTTCATAAAACCATGCTGCCTTGAGCTCATTAAATTATTTTCTAAATAATAGTTACTTAATTTATTTTTTATTATATTCTCAAATGTTTTAGATAGATTAGATGTCAATGATATAGGTCTATAACTTTTATTTATTTCATAATTCGTTTTGCCTGGTTTTGGAATTATTTTTAAGAATGATTTTTTCCATTCATCCGGATAATATCCCATTTCTATACATTTATTGAATAATTTATGCAGAATTGGGATTATTTTTATTTTAGCCTGTCTAATCATATTGTTACTAATGTAATCAGGGCCCGGTGCTTTTTTAATATTTGTTTTTAAAATTGTTTCCTCTATTTCCTTAGATTCGATATAAACACTACTTTTATTTTTATATTTAGGCGTATAATTTCTAATCAAAATATGATCATCTTTATCCAAACCTCCAATATCATCCCGAAATAGATCGTTCATTAAGCTTTTTATTTTGTCGGTCTTTAAATGATCTGGTAAATTATCTATTATTGGTATTCCTAAATTTCTATTTTTCGATCTCAATGACTTGAATATCCTGTAAGCATTACCAAATGAGTTATTTGAATGACTTTCTTCTATAAAAATTCTCCAACTCGCTCTTTTTACCTTTTTACTTTTATTTAAATATGTATTTCTCATTGATTTATAGGTCTTTTCAAGGACCTTTCCATGTCGGTAATACAAATTTCTAATATAGTGGAAATCGTTTTTCATTTTCTCCAGCTTCCCATCCCACCAGTATGTATTTGTTTTATGATTTCCGCTACTTGTCTTGACATTTAGTGACAGATAAGCTGCCTCTTTAATTATTTGTGTGAGAGTCTTTACAATGTTGTCAATATCTTTGATGTTTGACGCGTGGTTTATCATGGTGATAATATTATCTACGTCTTGTATTGCTATTTTTTCGGTAAATGTTTTCCAATCAGCATCTTTTTCTATAAATTTCCATGTTGAGTTTTGAACTGTCCCTTGCCTGTTAAAATTGTGATAAATGTCAAAGGTTATTGCTACGTGATCTGAAATGTGCGTCAATATAGTCGTCTTCCAGTTTTGTACCAAACTTATTGATTTTTTGTTTGAAATCGTAAGATCTATAAAGCTAGAATTTCGGCAGGTGGGTATCTTAAGATTATGAATAAATAGGTTATGTTCATCTATGATGGAGTGGAATTTGAAACCATTGGAGTTTGAAAGTAGTGTTTCTTCCAAATACAATTCTTGATGGCCACAATCAATAACCGCTCTTGTTGCTTTGAAGAAATCCCACCCCAAAATTATATCGTGGCTGCAATCAGGAATTACGATAAATTCAAAGATTGTGGCGAGATCATTGATAAGGACCTTTAGTGAACATTTTCCCAAAGTTTTAACAAGCTTTCCATTGGCGACTTTAACGACTGGTCCAGATTCAACAAAAAATGGAGTTCTCAGACGTCTTCTAAACGTTTCTGAAATCACGGAATAATCTGCGCCCGAGTCTATCAGTATTGTAGTTTCCAGTCCATTAATGTTCCCTTTTATACAATTCCGTTTTAATTTTGCAGACGTCGATGATGGAGGATTTTCAAAAACTGCGGCCTCACCCCCCATATAGGTCGCGCATCCTAGTTTTCCTCATTTTGGCGACGTGGTGAGCGGCTTGACAAACGACCTGCCCCTGGTGATTGGCTTCTTCGTCTTCTTCCTCTGCCTGGATATGGTGAAGCACTGCGGCTAAAACCTCCGGGTCTAGGGAGAGTTGGGAAATCGTAGGGTCTTTGTGGGGTTGCATTGTCGGCTGCTGGAAGTGTTCTTCTCAATCTGGCATCCTCAAAGGTACGTCTCCTTTCTCGACAGTAACGTAAAACATGGCCTGGCTTCCCGCAATGGAAACAGATAGGTTGGTTATCAACCGTTCGCCATTGGTCAGATGTTCTGGGGGCATATGGAGTGTAGTCATCTTCTCGTCGAAATCTTGGTACAAACGTTCTCCTTCTTTGAGATTGAATATTTCGCCTTGTAATTGGGGCGAGTACTTGTTGCACCTCCTCTTTAACTATGGCCTCCAAAGAATTTACGTCAGTTGTTCTAAAGGGTTCCATTTCAGACATTTTAGGCATAATCTTTTGCAACTCTTCCTGGACAATCCGTCGAATCTTTAAAGCTAAATCTTCTTCAAAGTCCGACGAGATCGGAGTCACGTTCGGTAATCTTTCATAACGTGTTCTTTTAATGCGGCGTTGTTTCATGTTCTCCAGCTGTCGGCAAATTTCACCAGCTCGTCAACAGTTGTGGGATCTTTGACAATTAGAGTCTGGTAGAAATCTTCGGCAATCCCCTTCATCAAATGTCCAACTTTTTCTTCCTCCTCCATTTCAGGATTAACTCGTGAGCACAGTGATAGGATTTCTTGAATGTAAGATTCGGTTGTCTCTCCAGGCTTTTGAGCTCTGGTCTTTAGTGTCATTTCGGCTCGTCGAGTAAGCTCTTCTTTTTGCCCAAACACTTCACAAAGATCAGTCTTGAATTGAGTCCATGAATTAATGATGTCCTCGTTGTTATCGAACCACTGGGCGGCTGTTCCCTCGAGGTAGAATACAACATTGGCAAGGCTTTGAGAGTCATCCCATTTGTTGTATTTTGCGACCCTTTCAAACATTTTGATCCATTTCTGGGGATCTTGAGCACTCTCGCCAGAGAATGTCGGAGGATTCCTTGGAATATGACAGGCGTAAGATTGTTGTCCAGAATTTGCTCCGAAAACTTCGGAAATCCCAGAAGCTTCAGTTGTCACCATCTTTGTACTGCTTGGCAGATCCTCAAATCCGTACTGGGGTTGTAGGCCTTGCAGTCGGAAGCTCCTTCTAAGTGCCGTCTTGAATTTACCCGGAATCTCCACCAAAGATGTCGCGTAGAAAGTAACACTGACTTATTTAACTTTCCAAAAATAAACTTAGACGTTAAGTTTTAAAACACTTCCAAGGAAGATATGTTTATTATCTCTCTCTGCCCGTGGCGCAGTCTCTACGAGCCACGAGTCACAAGCTCTTCTACCCCTTTAATGCTGTGTTTTCTCAACTTGAGAAATAGAGGAGAGCTTCAGATCATGTATAAATGCCGCAATATTATAGTCTTTATCACTATTGATTTATATATATATGCCATAATATTACCCTTCCTGGAATAATAAAGTAAACCTACAGTCAACGAGAGAGAGACGTCGATAGAAGGCAACTAAGTTACGGCCATTTTAAACCACTGGCCACATGCCGGAGGGGGCTTTTCTTGGAACCCTGCAGGACTATTTTTGGATAGTTGGGGGGTGGTGGCGAACAAACGGTCGTTCAGCGGTCAGCCCCTCGCACTACCTCTCTCGGATGGCTTCCAAATTCCTCTACCAATTTGTGGCGTGATTATTTCCCTTTCCCCACCACATTATTACCACTATATTGTCACATTGAAAGTCGACAGGATCATACCACATATATATATATATAAGATAATATAATATAATGCGGCTTGTGATTGTAAAACGACATTTGAAATTATCCCGCATGTGTTACTTTTCAACGAAAAATCAAAATTTATTCCTGGACACTTTTATTTTTCCGTTCATCATTACTCTTCACAATTCATCCTTTCATACTTCATCCCTAAGGTTAGAAATAATCGTTATTTCACCTAAAAATAAATTTTGATTTTTCGTTGAAAAGAAACTCATGCGGGATAATTTCAAATGTCGTATATATATATTTAAAATACAATATAACGCGGCTGATGATTGTAAAACGAAAATTAAAATTATACCGCGAATGTTTCTTTTAAAAATCGAAATTTATTTTCAAAGAGAAATAGCGACATTTCTAACTTTGAGGATGAGGTATGGAAAGGTGAAACATGAAGAGTAATGGAGAACGGAAAAATAAAAATAAAAATAAAAAGTGTCCAGGGGCGGGAATCGAACCCACACCCTTCTGCTTACGGTAAGCAGAAGGGTGTGGGTTCGATTCCCGCCCCTGGACACTTTTTATTTTTCCGTTCTCCATTACTCTTCATGTTTCACCTTTCCATACCTCATCCTCAAAGTTAGAAATGTCGCTATTTCTCTTTGAAAATAAATTTCGATTTTTAAAAGAAACATTCGCGGTATAATTTTAATTTTCGTTTTACGTATATATATATATATATACTAGCCGAATGACCCGGGCAACGCCCGTGTTTTACCTGATTGAATGTTTTGATTCAAATACTATTTGTTACAATTATAATTTGGCGCCTTAAATAAATGCATATGTTAGTTAATAACTATAGCCTATGTGCTTTATCTGTCTATGTACTGTTGGCTTCCGTAGGCGTCTCTTACTTGGAAAAGGAAAGAGAGGATTCCATTTGGTTATTAGCTAATATATGCATTTATTTAAGGAGCGACCCGCTCCAACACAATAGTTACAAAAACGAAAAAGCGAGTGGGGGAGGCATGATGGGGGGGGGGGGGGGCAAAGGTGGCGTGATCGTAGCCAACCAATAGGAGGGCGCCATTCCAAAAAAAGCAAACCGTGACAGAGGCGACGAAGAATGACGCTCGTAACTGTATATAGAATATTTGTATGTATATTGTGTCCATCGGGGCTCAAAAATCGTTCATTCTGGTTAGCAGCCCCGTAAATAAAGACATATCGTCTTATATATGTACTCGTACTATAGTCCAAGAAAGGGGAATAAGGCAAACAATATGTAACAAAGTTTGATAATTACACCGCAAATGTTTCTTTTGAACGAAAAATCAAAATTTATTCCAAGGAGAAATGACGACTATTTCTAACCTTAGGGATGAAGTATGAAAGGATGAATTGTGAAGAGTAATGATAAACAGAAAAATAAAGTGTCCAGGGATGGGAATCGAACTCACAGTGTTCCGCTTACCGGGCAGATGCCATGTCCACTAGGCTACCCTGGACATATTTTTCCCCTCGTAAATATTATATAACAAGTAGTATGTGTATATGTAACAAAGTACCAATATGTAAATAGGTAACCACAGTTATATATGTACATTAGTCTTGGTGGAGAGATACCTCTGTGTGTCTTCTGGTCTACATCTTCTGTTTTTTAATATCAACACCTGAACTTATTTTCTATTTAATTGTTTTTTTCACAAAAGTTAATATTGTAACAAAGTATTTATTATTTTTATTAACAGAGTGATCATTTTTTATGTTTATAATTTGCTACTCTGTAAATTTCCTTCGTGGCTTATCTTTTGTTTACCATTCATAGTTTGTTCTTGCCTGAATTAAATTGTTGTGTCATCCCGAAGTTGGCCTTCGTTTTTTGGTTCTTTTCGTTCCTCAGTTGCCAGCTATCTCTCTACCTGGTCACATCTCTGCTTTCCTGCTCTTGCAATGGATCTTGCCAAGAAGAAGCGGAAGAAAGCCCACAAGCCCATCGTGGACGTCGCTGCCCTGGAGAAAGAGGGTGAAATGGTGATCTCCCGCAACCACCATATCCTGCGTTCCATTGGCCATCCCTCCCTCAAGACCCTGCATGAAGATCTGATCAGATTCATCGCGACGCGGACTGAGCTGATCAAGGCCCTTTGTGCTGAAGTGGAGAACCTTTATGGCACGCTCAATGCCTTCGCGGAGCTGGACGACTTCATGGAGGAAAACAAGCCTCCAACTGCCTGTCACAGCACTCAAACCTGCCCAGCTCCTTCCTGCAAGGACACCTGCTCTCAGACCGACCCAGTCAAGCCCGCCACCCCTGTTCCTGCTGCTCTCCCAACGAATAAGCCTGCCCCCACGTTGCCTGCTCCTACAAAAAGGAAGCCGCCTGAGGCACCCAACCCGCCTGAAAAGAGGACAAACCTGCAAGGTCCTTCCAAGCCTGTGCCTTCCCGCGCATCCAAGCCGGCGGCCGCCCGAGTGACCCTCCATGGAGAGAAATCGGCGGCCCACACAGTGGTTATTTCTGATACCCGCAGGCCGACCCCAGGGAGATGCTCAAAGCTGTCCGCGCCGCCCACACTCTCTCCCAAGGCGTCTGAGCTTCCCTGCGCACCAAGGGGAAGCTGGTCCTCCATTCCAGCAACCCAGACACCATCTGTTGGAAAAGAAGGAGTCCGAAGCAGCCAATGGGAGGCCGACGGAAGCGGCTACGGGGATGCAGCGGCTAAAATGAGAAAACAAATACAGAAGAACCTGTAAACAACTTTCGAACACGATGACAAGATTCTTCTCGACAAATTCTTCGACATTATCATCAAACATGTTCCGAACTCCCCAAATGGCAGGGATCTGTCAAGATTCAAGGCGGCTTAAAGCTCCTGATCCGGACGTGCCCTCGGAGAGGGCTACGTCGATTGTATATATCTCTCTTCATTCCTACCATTATTATTATCTTATAACTCCCCTTGAGTGTAAAGATTGACGAGATGTCAATAAAGTTGTTTAATTGTCAAAATATCCGCAGAATAATTATTTTGAATACTCTGTTGTTTATCATCATAAATATTTGCATAGTCATCACCCCTTACCATGCTTGTATATTATCACCTGTAAATATGTAAATAGTTGTACATTCTAATCAATAAATTATCCTTACTCAAACGTTTGGAATACATCACTACCATGACAATATAAACCAAAGAATATAAAGTCAGCACAGGAGAGACAGAAGTCGCTGGAGGAAGGATCAAGGCCAGCTTTCCTCTATCACTTATGCAGAAATAAACAAATCAAACGCCATAATCTTGAACCTAAAAATATCGCAGCTGTCAGAAAAAAAGTCTGGGACACTCGTGATTTTTTATTGAAGTTAAAAGTCCAATTTGTCGTTATCAGCTGTTGCCTCTAGGTCAGACCTTTCCGTCGATGGCGCACGTGCGGCATCTGTTGTAACTTACACGGCAGTTGGGTTGCACGGATGCTATGTTGAGCGACTGCTGAGTTGCACGGGTACTGTGTTGAACGATTGCTGTGTTGAACGACTGCTGTGTTGCACGGGGTACTGTGTTGAACGACTGCTGTGTTGCACGGGTACTGTGTTGAACGATTGCTGTGTTGAACGACTGCTGTGTTGCACGGGTACTGTGTTGAACGACTGCTGTGTTGAACGGGTGCTGTGTTGCACGGGTACTGTGTTGCACGGGTACTGTGTTGCACGGATGCTGTGTTACACGGGTACTGTATTGCGCGGATGCTGTGTTGCACGGGTACTGTGTTGAACGACTGCTGTGTTGAACGGGTGCTGTGTTGCACGGGTACTGTGTTGAACGGGTGCTGTGTTGCACGGGTACTGTATTGCGCGGATGCTGTGTTGCACGGGTACTGTGTTGAACGACTGCTGTGTTGAACGGGTGCTTTGTTGCACGGGTACTGTGTTGCACGGGTACTGTGTTGAACGACTGCTGTGTTGAACGGGTGCTGTGTTGCACGGGTACTGTGTTGCACGGGTACTGTGTTGCCCGGATGCTGTGTTACACGGGTACTGTATTGCGCGGATGCTGTGTTGCACGGGTACTGTGTTGCCCGGATGCTGTGTTACACGGGTACTGTATTGCGCGGATGCTGTGTTGCACGGGTACTGTGTTACACGAGTACTGTGTTGAACGACTGCTGTGTTGCACTACTGTTGTGTTGCACGGATGGTGGATAAATTGAGAAAAACGGCATCTCTTGATCATGTAACTAAAGGTTGCTGATGGCTTGCGCCATCTATCTGAATAAATATTAAATAATCGTTGACTTTTAATTATTTCCGAATTATCAAAATTGATTAATCAAGAATGAGTAATTGGCCAATTCACTCACAGAAACATGGAAGGATCAACATCTGAAGAATAAACCAACAGGATTTCATTTGTATGAATCACTAGCTCAGAGAGACCACAAGAAGGGTAGATCATCGGGGGGAATTATTGTTGGGATTCGAGAAGCTATAAAAGACAAGATTGAAAGGACTGAAATTGAAAAACAATGGATTATGATCTGTCTGAGGTTGGACGGTGAAATGCGAGTGTGTATGATCTTTGCTTACTTGCCACCAAACGAACACTATTTGACCAACTGCAAAAATTTACTCGACCAAATAGAAGGGAAATAGTTGAAGGATATGAAGTTTTACTGGCTGGTGACCTGAATACACGAACGGGTGCATTGGGAATTCTTCATAATACATTATACCTTCCTTGCTACTTAACTACTAGACGCACTTCTAAAGATCCTGTAATATCTACGCATTCAGAACAATTCATAGATAGATTGGATAATAATACTCTCACAGTTTTGAACGGCAGAACAAGGGGTGACAGAAGTGGTAACTACACATATATATCAGCACGGGGATCCTCGGTGGTAGACTACTGTATTGTCTCCCATGGGCTGTTAGGTTACGTACATGACCTATACATCGAGGGATTACCACATTCAGATCACTTACCTCTAATTATAAAAATGGATATGAGTTGGGGACCGAAACAAGTGACGAACCCGACTTCACGGGTAAAGAAAAAATATATATGGTTACCCGAAAGAGTAACGCTATTTGTAGAGGACTTAGGAGGAGCTTATGGATCTTGGAATAACTCTATTGAGAATATAATGAACAACATGGTTAATCAGATCAAAAGCGCAATGGTACAAAATGGTATGCAAATTGAAATAAAAGCGAATAACTCACTGTCGAAGCCCTGGTTTGATCATGAGTGCTACATAGCGAAAAATATTATGAAAACAACTCTGACAAAATATATCAATCTAATAGGGATCTAGATCGTTTGGAATATGTTAAAACAAGGAACAAATATACATCGATTATTAACAATAAAAAGAAAAAATAATATGTGAAATACAAGAAAAATTAAATAATACATACGATTCAAGTGAATTCTGGAAAACAATAGCTCGCTTCAGAAAAAGAAACTATACACAGGGCAATATCTCAATATCGGACTGGCAGCAATTTTACAATAAACTCCTGGATACAGAATCAATACCAGATTACGAACCCGTTACTATGACCT